CACACACTTCATCAAAGAAAAATATAACTTTCATACTGACTTTGCAGAACTGCAGAAGCCTTATACATAGCCCTGGCCGGGCAGCTCAGTTGGTTAGAGTGTTGTCCTGATACGCCAATGTTGTGGGTTCGATTCCCGGTCAGGGCACATACCAGGATCAACCAATGAAATAACTGTAACAATAAATCTATATTTTTCTCTCTCTCTCCCTCCCTCTCTTCCTCTCTTTCTCTCTTCCCCTCTCCCTCCCTCTCTCTCTAAAATCAAATAAAAATATCTTTTTTAAAAAAAAACACCTTACACATAATACGGACCTGGCCCTTATTTGCATGAGTCTTAGAAGTAAAACATGTCAGCCAAGAACTCTGGTCAAATTCAGCCATGCCAAGGATTTTGTCTGGCCCAATAATAACCAACATTGAAAAACAAGATGTCATAGAAAATTCAGATACCTATCTTCTCAGAAAAATCTTAAATTCTACCAAACCAAACCTGCATCTTTCTACTGCAGTAATGGGATGGAGCATAGTACTAATTGTAGGGCAAGACCTATTCATCATATTCCCTTCTGCCTGGCCCTGGTACACATGTGAGTTTGGGAGCCAAGATCTGATAAGAGGTTAAGAACCGAACCCATCAGCACTGTGAAGAAAGAAGCTAAGTGTGATTGCTATGAGAGAAATAATACTGACAACACTGAAAAACTGGGGAGTCTTGCCCCTCTGGCCCTCATACACGCCAGCTTTCTGAGAACCTCCATTTTTATATTTAGAGTAATTGACTGGTTCTCTAATTTGTATAACAGAGTTAAACATTTGTGCACTAGAGTTTTCTGATTATATTTATGTTATATTTTTATGGGGCCGAAAAGTTTATCTCATCTGGCAAATCACGATAACTATGGTGCTGAGTTAATTGGTAAAATATTTAAGATGATTATTCTTTTAAGGTTTAAGAGAACCTTCTAAAGTCTTTTAATCCACTTCTTTCCGTCTCTTCCAACTCACCTAAGCATTTAAAACCTACATATTTTAAAGACAGAATATGGAATTTTCTCTCACTTCCATATGTAATCTATGCCAGTGTTTACAAGGCCCCCAGTCATGAAATTCCAAATGAAGGTTTGTGCTTAAATATGCATACTTCAGCTTTAGTACATCCCTAATTCATATGCTTTCAAACCACAGTATGTTTAAAGACAACTAGACAACGACGTCGGAGGAATGGTGGTATGACAGATCTCCTAGGTCTCTCCCCTTGAAGTGCAACAATCTGAACAGCTATAATTCAACAAAGGATTCCCTGCTCAGCGCAAACACACCTGAGAGATCCACATGCTGAAACATCTAAAGGTGGGCAAGTGGGAGTGAACCGGGGAGGCGAGAAGGGAAAAGCACTGAGCTGAGCCACAAACGCAGCCCTACAGGCAGGAGCTTAAGGCAGGGCTCAGCCCGGAGAGGGAATTAGACTGTGGTTGGAACTCTCTTCACTCAGGAGGAGCAGCGATTCTGTGGGCATTCCTGCAGGAGGGGGCAGTAGGAGCTACAGCTGAGCCCAGTGACCTAGGCACGGAAGCAGCTCAGAGGTGCAACTCCAGTTGCCTGGTGGTTGGCATTCCAGACAGAGAAACAAAGGCATGGAGCCTGGCTACCCCATAATCCTAGAGCTTGCTTCCTTTGCCCCTTGTGGAGCACATTATCTGAAAGAACGAGTACTACAGAGTCACTTGTTCCCTGAGCAAAAGGCCCACTCTGTGAATGGTCCCAGGATCAGGGCATGGGGGGAACTCCATGGAGGTCCAAGGTCACCATGACCTGAGGGCAAAGCAACTTAGAAGGCAGTCAGGTTACCCCAGTCCACCCCATCCTCACACATCATGGCTACACTGATGGCAACGTCTGGATGTGGAGGACAGCACTGAGATTTCATGAATTTGGAGCTCCGCGGGTTCCCTGTCAGGGTTGGGCCCCTGGGACTGGGGCACCAGATCACGAGGGAGGCACCCAACTCCCATTATCATCACCGCAGAGATCTGAACAGCCAGAGAAAAGCAAGAGAGCTAAAGAAACTTCTGATCCAGTGCCACCTACTGGAAAATAATAGGACTTCTTTGTATCAATCTACTAGAGAAATGCCACTCATACACAGATGCCTAGATAGAGAAGGAATCCATCAGACCTATGAATAACCAAGGTAGCAAGACAGCTAAGAAAGAAAATTTAAAAATCTCCAGAAAACAAAGTCAAAGACATGGAAATATGTGACTTAAATGACAGAGAATTCAAAATGGAAAGATAACATCTAGGCCTCAGTTATATTTCAGCTCCACGCCCAGAAAAACAGAGAAACCTGACAAAGCAACATCATGGCTGACATCAGGACCAAATACACTGACAAGCACCCCTTATCCTACCACCAACCAATCAACCACAACCTTGACCATGACCCTAACCTCAACCCTAACTCCCTTAGTCACCATGATAAATGATTTTTCTCCCTATCTACTCTATCCTGTGGAAGTCTTTGGGAAGCCAGGTCTTTGAACATTTGCTCACCTGTGTCTCCAGGGTGGGTCACTTCCTAAAAACTAACCCTTCCTTTCCTTGCGGCAAACTCCTGTGTGGTTTTGAAGCGCACAGGCAAATGGACCCCTTTGGACTGACAACAATAGTAAATGGAAATTCTTTATTAGGAAAACACAATGTTTCATAGGTTTCAAGGCAAGGTCTTGAAACACCAGGGTCTGCATCTTCAAATAGGTCTTGTTACAAAAACAAAACTCTGAGTAAATTTGAAGATCAAATTGGCTTTATTGAATGATTCATAAATTAGGCAGCATCCCATATAGGTATTAGAAAGGAGCCTCGAAGACCTGTATAAAAGGTAAGCCTCGTATAGGCAGAAAGTGGAAGGGACAAGGAAAGAGAGTGATTACCTCACCCTTCTTTGGGGAATAGAAAGGGTCTATGTGACAGATTACGTCAAATTGACTCAAGTTCACATTCTTGAAAGAGGCTGAAATTGCAATTAAGTCTTGATTTGCTGCACTGGGCTTAGAACAGGTGACTCCATTATGAACCTTGCTTTTCAACAGTTCCAACCTCCATGGGATGAGAACCATGATTTAAACTTACTCCATTTATTTGTAGGTCGAGTAAAACAAGAAAGCTTGCTATTGTTAATGACATGGTTTTAAAAGAAGAAAAAAGATTAGTCTCCCTATTTACTCCATGAAAAAATAATGAAAACTGATTTGAAATGAAGAGCTTGACTCTCAAACCAGATGTTGTTTGGTGTTCTTTAAAGTTTCAGCATTTAATTGAAATTACAAAAGAACTTCATTAAGCACCTGATACTTGAGTTCTAGCTGAAAAGGTTAAGCTTCCCTGCAGAAAAGCATAGCAATAATTGCTCTGCCTACTAGGAAAAAAAAATAGTCATTTAAAAAAAATTATAGACAAATCTCAGTTATCAAATGTTTTCCTTCTCAAACAATTTGCTTCTCAACCCGACAACCCTTTCATGCTGATACCTGTATGATCAGTCACATGACTCTCAGGTAACATACAGAGAATGCACGAGTATGAGTCAGTTCACCGCTAAACCTCATGTTGTTAACATCTCAGAAAATTGTGCTGTGAATATTTTTTTCTCTTGCTCTTGTTGCTGCTTATTATTATATTTTCATTTACATTTCATGTCCTTTTTTAAAAAAATGGTTATAGATTAAACAGTACATTAGACATGTATTGCATATAAGAAAGGTTAAAACAAGGAATCATTTGGGGGTCTGGAATGGATTAATTCAATTTACATTATTTCTAATGGGAGAAAATGATTGGGTTTTCAAACAGCCTTCCAAAATGAATTAAATTCAGAAATTGAAATTCCACTGTAAATGTTTCTGTTCCTATTTCCTTCCATTTTTTAAATTTATTTTCATTTCTTCCCAATTCAATTTTAAGTAAAATAGGAAATGGGGAAGGGAGGGATTGGTCAAAACTAGAAAGCTTCATAGCTTTCCCAAGGCAAATATCCCAAACTGTAATTCATTACGTAAGTGTCTAAAAGGAAGAGGGGGTGGCCTAAAGCAAGGCCGAAGTGTGCACACCTTGGCCAAGTTGAGTCTGGGTACTTAAAGTCAAAGCAAGGGAGTTTATTGTAAATAAGGGAGGGTGGGGCAATAGGAAGAAGGCAATTTCTCAAGATGCTCTAGTCCACCCAATGCCTCCCATAGACACACTAGCAGAAAACTGTTCAGTTCACTTTACGTAGATAGGATCCTAAAGTGCTTCTTTAACCTTCTAGCAACATTGCATTTGAAACCACTAAGGGAATTCAGAAGAACAAACATTAAGCCCTGAAGCAAAGGTGTTAATTGGCCTCAGGGCAAAACTGATAATAACCACTTTCTGTTTTGACCCTTCTATTCTTATGCACCACAAAAAGGGAAAGAAGAATATGATTCATTGTTGAAGAATCTGAATTCCTAGTGCACTGCAGAGAAGGGTCCTTTTCCAGAGTCAACTCAGGAAAAGTAGTATTAACACATGGCAAAGGGTTTCCCCTCTCCAGCCTAGCATCTAGCTCTATTATCAGCTGCGATGTTTTTACAAATACACATTATGCACAGGCAATGTATAGGATTACAGAGGACTGGAGCAGAAATAAGAAATGAATAAAAATAAATGAATTATAAAGATGCATAATCTTTACAAGGCAAAACTATCCTTCTACACCCCCTTGGAAATCATGAAAATAAGTAAAGAAACCTGAGTAATAAAACAATCAGTGACTGAAACCCAGGTTAGTTGGGAAAGGTCAGAAAGGACACTTCCACTTACTGAAGATCAAAAATGTTAACTTATATTAAATTCTCTTTGAAGAGGAATAAATTTGCCTTTTAAATGGTAAAAAAAAAAAGAAAGAAAGAAAAAAGGACCAGACCAAGCAAGGAGATGACTCAGAAATCCAATGCTTGAGTACCAACAATCACTTACTTTGTAAATGGTAGGTAGGATCTGTTTCATTTTCAGCCTGTGAAAGACGAAGACATCATACACTGCGGAGACCGCGAGAACAGTCACCCCTTGTTCCTTCCACAACATGCTGCATCCGGCGCACAGTCCTGTCCCCAGGAACCAGCCCCACGTCCTGGCCGAGTAGCCTCTTGTAGAACAGTGTTTAACGTAGCAGAGCAAGGAGAGGAGAAAGAAGAGACTGGCCCCGACATCAGCCCGACCCACGATTCCGGCCACTGCCTCGGTGTGAATGGGGTGAGAGGCGAACATCAAGCCCGCCATGAAGGTCCAGTATCCGTCCCCAAGGAGGACCTTGGAGAAGCTCGTGAAGAGACCAGTGACTGCCGCATGCAGGAGGATGTTGACGAGATGGTAGCTCCAGGGGTTCAGTCCTCCGATGGCATGGTTCAGGCGAAAAGAAAGCGTGCAGAGCGGCCGGTAGGACTTGTGGCTGCCGCTGTGGGTTAGCAGAGTTCCCCAAAAATCATTGTAGAAAATGTGCGTCCATGGCGTTTCTGGGAGAAGGTCCTGATTAGTCTTGATAGCACGGCTGAAAAACAAAACGTTTTAAAAAAAACAAAATGAGAAATACGGAAAGAAAAAACAAACAAGAAAATGAGTGACATGGCTAAGATATTGCCGCCTTCTCTAGCGTCGTTGGCACGCGACTTGATGCCGGGATTCCAGGGATACATGATTAATGCATACAGATTGAATCAAGATCCTCCCCTTAATGCTTTCTAACACGAAAATTAGGATTTCATTGCTTTTCCTCGAAAGCTTTCTTTCTTGTTTGAATGCAAGTATGTTTGAAGAATAAGTGCAAGAGCTCTATCATTAGTTTAAGCCTTAAAGCAGACGTTGCTAAACAGCTGCCCTAAAAATCACGTGATGTGATGACTAAAAATGCAGATTCTAGGCCCCAGGTTGATGTTAGGCCTGAGGATATGCATTTTTAAAAGCACAACCCCAGGTGATACTGGCACAGAGAATACACTTAGAGCAAGAACTAGTCTCGTACTAGAAATAAGTTTTAAATAGAATACCTATGCCCAGAGCAATGCTTCTCAAAGACACACATCATCAGGTACCACACGTCTAACAAATCCCCAAGTAAAGCTGACTCACAGGTCCGTGGACCACACCCTGAGTAGCAAGGACCTATAGAGCTGGAGAGATGAATTAGAATGATTCTCCATCTACCCAAATATTTCCCTTCTTCCTACATTCCAGTAAACTTCAGCCTTTACCCCTTCTGAGCTCTCAGAGGACTGTGTCACCTATAGCAAGTGCCACAGTGATGCACTTCCTTGCCTCCTGCTTTTGAAGATTAGTAGCTCGAGATTTCCAGACTTCAAGGACAAATGACCTGATACTTGTTGAGCACTTCCTGTCTGTCAAGCACCCTGCTGATCTCCTTGATTCTATCTTCTTGGTTAATTCTTAGAATAACTGACAAGGTACATATTATTATCTACATCTCTCAAGTGAGCAAATTAAAATTGAGAAAGTTAAATTAATGAGTTCAAATTCATACAAGTCAGAAATAACAGGGTTGAGTTTCATGACCCATGCTCTTTCCACTATGATGGGACTCTCAAAATGTGATCCACATACCACTGGGAGCATGTGAGAAAAGACACCAATAAATCATGTAACATTTTTAATGGCTATATTGGTTTTAATGTACATTTGAAACAAAATTTAACTATCACATCGAAGTTGGATTTCATAGATACTCGCACAGGATGAAGCTGTTAAAAACTAAAAAAAGTCCATGTAAAGACAGATATTAAGGAATCGCCCATTCTGGTATATGTGGATAAGGGACAATTGTTGAAGGTAGCATATAAATGACTCAGTTTGGAGGATTCCTGCTCTCCGGCATTATACCTGCCAGAGAACAGGGTGGCATCTAGAGTCTTTTGTATCTCTAGTGTACCTATCTCAGTACTCAGATAACTCAAAAGAGGCACATGAGTCTGAAGAAAGCAGAAATGAGATATTTAAGTAGAAACTTCTTGTCTCATTTGATGCCAGGGCTTTTAAGGGGGTGTGGGCACTTGCATATTAAAGAATATGTGGTGGGTGGCCACGGTGGTGCCTCTAGCCCAGTGTTTCTCAACCTTCCTAATACAGTTCCTCATGTTGTATGTGGGCGCATCTGCACGGGGGTGGACCCACCTGGAGAGACAGAGGAGCAGTGCCTCGGTTCCTAAGACCATCATAAATATATGTTTTCCGATGGTCTTAGGCGACCCCTGTGAAAGGGTCGTTCAATCCCCAGGTTGAGAACCGCTGCCCTAGCCCCTCCACCAGTTCTGCCTTTCATTGTGAGGCAGTCATGATGAAAAGAATTGTTACGTGAATGTTACCAAAAAATCAAGTAGCAAAAGCCTGGGATTGAGGAGAAACATCCCTGAGTTAACAGCTCAGTAATTTACTGAGTGTCTTCAAAAACAAAACATGGAACAGAGACTCAAACACATTAAAAACCCATTCTAGGTGACAGCCATCGGGAATAGTAGTGTTAGCATTTCATTTGAGATCAATGACTGGCAATGCTGGCTTCCCAATTAACCTCTCTGAGCTTCAGTTTCTGTAATGATAATAGTTTTACCTTGAAAACATTTAGCAAACACCTGCAGTTGTTCGTTTATCTTTTATGTAGAGAAACAGAGAACACTGCTGTGCAGATACATGCATGTTCTGGGACTCAGCACAAATACCATCTCCATCCAGTTAGCTGCTGCTGTTATTATTCTACAAAGATGGGGTTCAGTTTATAAATGTCCCATATTAAAGTCTGCTTGGCCTCCAACCCCTGAAATTGAGTGCATTTAGGGGTTAGAATTAAAACATACAGGTCAGTAGTTGATAATTACTTACTCTGTGTCAAACACTATACTAATCCTTTATAGCTACTTGTAAGAACAAGTTGACTTTTCTAGATGCTCAATAAAAAGGCAGCAGATCTGTTAAAATCGCATTTTAAAAAATACTCAGTGTGGCAGGGATTGTTGTTTTCCCTTGTCTATTTTTAGCTTTTTCCGTACTCATAGATCTTCTGTTTTTAACTAGGTACACAGTCATCTAGAAAACAGATTTCATTTCCTATTTTCCCTTGCTGCTAAAGATGTTCATGTGACTAATTTTTGGTCAGTGAAAAATAAGCAGAGGTCTATGTACTACTTTCAGAAAGTGTCCTTTAAAAGAAAAAAGAAAAAAAAAAAAAAAAGCTTAGTATTCTTCCCCTCCTTCACTGCGTCCTTCCTGCTGGAACACAGATGTGAGAGCTGGAGGTCTCGCAGCCATCTTGGCCCATAAAGTGTCCTCAGGAATAGAAAGCATGCCCAGCACAGCAATAAGATGGAAGAAAATTGAGTTCCTGTCACGGGAGAACATACCAACCCTCAGCTAACTACCTCCCCATTGCATGCGTGTGAGAAATACATTGCTGTATTGTTTAAACTGTGATATTTTGGATGTTAGCTGGTGGCAGTTGAACCTAGCCATAAGTGAACTCCTTTGTTCACAGAAGGCCTACTATATCACAGTGGTTTGATTTTTCCATTTTGATTTTTATTTTTACAAGTCTCCATGTATTGACTCTGTATTAAATGAATTTCCATATAAACGGACTTTTAAAATATTAGAAACAGATGTTATTCTGGATCCACTAAATTAAAACACCCTGCAATGACATTTATCAAGAGTCTAACTCAGAAGTAATTGCTTAAGACTCGATGAATTATAATTAAAACTTAAAAGAAATATGAAAAACTGCCAAACGGTGTTGTCAGAGAGAGCTGACTTCAAGTAATTCAGAATGAAAACCCAACTGGCCCCTACTAAACCTTCATCTATGTATTGATGTGAATTTCTCTCATATCAATGCAGAAATGCTCATACTATCCAAGTCGGGCAGCGGAAAGCTCAGTAGCATAGCATTCTGGGATAAGGCTTTGCCAATGTAGCAAGGACAGCTAGAAAGCAAATCTTGTTTAAAATAATGCTACACCATTTCACTGTCAGATCCATAGAGGATAGAGAACCACGTTCCCCAAACCAGCTTTGCTACATGCTATTACTGCGTCACCATAACCAACTCCGTAAAGACTTTTTAAGAAAAAAATAAAACCCATACTTTCAAAAATCTGTTCAAACCTGCCAGAATTTCTTATATTTATAGCAATAAGTCTAGTAATATGAAGCCGCCAACAAGATATACTACACGTCTAGCTCTCACAAAACAAAAAGAACAAAATGAACACATCTCATAATTTCACTGTGAGAATAAATTTTGATAAGGCACAGCCCTAAATTTATATTGGAAGGAAAAAATTTAAAGGGCAAAGAGTGTTAATAAAACAAAAGTGGAAGAGTGAGAGAAAACCTCACCCACATGCAAAACATACTGTACAAAGACATAAACCAAGAATGTACATGCATATATGCATGACCAATGGATACAGACAACAGTGAGGTGAAGGCATTGGTAGGGGGAGGGTGCCAAAGGGCAAAAAAGAAGAGCATCTATAATACTTTCAACTATAAAGATTTAAAAAAAAAAAAAAGACAAAGGAAGACTTCAGTGTCATAAATTCTCTGACGTGTTATCTGCTTAGAAAGGTTTTTACTTAACTGATTAATATGACGGCAAAAGTACATGAAATAAGACTGAATTGTACTGGGCTTCAGTCATATCACACATACACGTGAGTGATAAGGGATGGATTACACATCCCTCACATCATTTTAAGAAAGACACAGACCAAAGGGCTTTAATAGAATCTGAATAATCTGCCAGGAAAATGAGAAGTAAAGGTAATCATTCAGCACTAAGCATATTAGATTTTCATCCAGTCACATTTTCTTACAGGAGTCCAAACTAGAAATGGTCAAATCTTTTCTCAGATAATGAAAAACCTTAATTCAAAACAAAATTTCATGCTGATATAATTTCTGTGGTTACTGCTGCGAGTTGGTGCTGAAATTCACAAAGGCACAAAGAAACAAGGAAATTTTCCACTCAGGAAAGGTGAAGAAACCCTGAGCCGTGGGGTTGAAGAAGACACAATTGTGAGCAGAATTCCCCAGAGAACACATGATAAAGAGACAGTCCTTGAAGCACAAAGGTCCAGTCTCTCAGGTCTTCAAGGAGTTCAAACCCCATTTCTCGTTTTGCCCATTTGTGGCTCTCTGTTTTTGCTGCCTTGTGATTTTTCCTTTAAGAAATGTTGACAGAGGCCAACCCTATTGTGAAACTAGTGAATGATGGGACACTGCCATCCCAACTGTCCTTGTCTGTGTTTCTCTCGCTGCTATTTTCTCTGTCCAATGACCTTTGCAGTCACAAGCACTCATTAAAAAAAAAAAAAATGAGTCTGAAGCCAAGAGGATTAAAGAAAGTTCTAGCTACGAGACACTAGACACAGTTACTTCACCTCTCCATACCTGTTTTCTTTTTTTTTTCTTTTTTCTTTTGTACCTGTTTTCTTATCTATAAAATAGATACTAACTGCACTTGCCTTATAGGATCCGTGAAGG